AAAAAAAAAAAAAAAAAAAAGGCATTTTATAGGAATGGTTTCCCTTGTACTCATAGCCTCTGAACTTATAATTTGAAATAGTCTAATTAAAAAAAAACTCATGAAATAGCTTGTCATTGAAAAAATAATTTTTTATGGAACAGGATCTTTCTACATTTATTTTAACATGAGAACATGTCAAAATACCTTAACAATTCTATCCTATATTTCAGATTTCATAAATATACTTTTCCCTTTCATAGTCTTCTGTACTTTCTTTAAAATAAACCGCATGATATACAATTTCAGAAAAGGAATTCAGATGAGAAAACAGGGAGCACTAAATAGACATCTAAATTGGCACAACTTTTGGCAGGCAATTTAGTAACATAAGCCAAAGCCTAAAATTTACAAAACATGGAAGTATTGTGACCAAGTCATCTGACTTCTAGAAGTATTTGTCTAAAGAAAACAAATACATGAAATAGTACCTCTCCAGCTCCATGGTTCTTATTTTTCTTCATGTTTCGCTACCTGATACAACATGTGCGTACACACACATATGTGTGCACATATACATCCCCCTCACCTATACCCTCCCTCCTTTTTTAGCGGGGGTGATACTGGGGTTTGAATTAGGCCTTCATATTTACTAGGCAGACATTCTACTACTTGAGCCATGCTGCCAGCCAGTTTTTTGTTGTTGTTGTTTTTTGAGAGAAAACTGCTATGTAGCCCAGACTGTCTTCAGATTCTCAGTCCTCCTGTCTCAGCCTCCCAACAAGTGCTGGGATTACAAGATGTGCCACCACCTAGCCTCCCCCATTAATGGAGGAAGCAGAGACTGTGCTTTTCTACCTCCAGCATTTTGGACTCTGAGATATAATGGCAAAGGAAAGTTGCTGAATGAACATTGTTAATCATAACATCGTTTCATCATTATTTCTGAGTGAAAACTCAGAAATTTAAATTTCAAGCAGGGAATCAACTAATAGCAATAGTGAATAACAGCTGAAATCTTTTACTGGATGACTAGGGAAGGTAGTCGCTTGGTTGAGAAAGTTAAAGCAAAAGCTATACCAACCCGGTGTCTTGTTAGAGTCCACCAAACATTCAGATCCATAGGACTGCCACAGACATACTTGGCTCAGGCTATTAGGAAGATAAAAGGCCCACAGTAGGCTGACAGGGCAGCTTCCACTGTCCTCAGCAAAAGTCCTGGCAGCATTCATGCAGGTGACACTACACAATCATGCAAGGGTTAGGATACAGGTCTGCATCATGCAGGCCCAGGGGCTGCCTGGCTTAGGGACCCACAGGAGTTGGGTCACAAGGCCAGGAGCAGTTTCCAGGATCCCTGTAAAGGACATGCAGTGACAAAAGTAACTGGGAATTCCTAAGTATGGTGTCCTTACCAGGCACGTGTAGTTCTCTCTGGCCAGATATAATCTTATAATCTATCAAATGGGTTTGATTTTTATCCTGATAACACTGCCTACAACACAGCTGACTTCCTAAGTCAGATTACCAGGTGTGGTATATTGTATTTTCAGGAAAGAGAGAACAGTACTTCTGGTCCCACTTGCTCTTCCAAGACACTACCATACTTCTCTCAATTCCCCAAAGGAAACTATGTGACTTCTTGATGAATAGAATGAGATAGAAGTGACAGACCATGACTTATGAGGCTAGGTTTGCACAACGGAATTCAGCTTTCACTAAGATCTCTTGAGATGTTTGTCTTTGGACAAAGCCCAGGCCACATAAAAAGGTCATGGCTAAATGGACCAACCAAAAGCTCTAACTATAGTCTCAGCCAACAGCCACCATCAACCACTAGAAATGTAGGTGCACAACTTCAGATGATTCTAGACCCCAGTCACAAATTCTCCCTTGGGTCCTTCTTCCCAAACCATGCCCCAAGGCACTCTGGGGCACTACAGAGAAATCCACTCACAGAAATACCCAGGTGAGTTAGTACCTCAGGGTACTTCAATTTTCACTGAAGATTGCTTACGATGGTGCATCTTTGTTAAGGTGGATTTTTTTTAACAGTTTAAAAAAAAATAAGTACCCTGCAAAAATAAATGTGGAACAAGATGAGATGGTGATGTCCAACCTGATTCTAAGGCTAGGTCATTAAAAATACAATTTCCTTTTGGTTCACTTTCCCTTGAAACACTTGTCCCTGGGACCTAGCCACTATGCTGGGAAAAAGCCCAGCCACAAGAGGTCATCTATAGGTGTTTCTGCTAATAGTTTGAGCTAAAGTCTCAGCTGACAGGCAGCATGAACTGTCAGACCCATGAGGGAGCAGACTTTGGATGATTCTAGCCCTGAGACTTCTAAAGGCCTCAGATATCACAGAGCAGAAAGTAGTTGGCTCTGCTGTGTGCTGTCCAATGTTGCCCCACAGAATCCATGAGTTAAAAAAAAAAAAAAGATTCTTTTATGCAGTTATGTTTTCGGACAATCTGTAATATAACCATATCAACGGGCTTCAATCTGTAATGAAAAGAAAATACAAGTAGGTCATATATGCACACTGACGGCAATACACCATGAAGCAAATACTGTGACTCATCCAATTCTGTGATTCCTTAAAAAAGCGGGGAGAAACAGGCAAAAAAAAAATCATTAAAAGATAACTTTAAAAATAAACTCAAAACAAATGCACCCCATTTATCAGCCTTTTGATGAAGGATCACAGTCTTTCTTTGAACACAGGTCCAATGACAGAAGGTTCTAAGACGTAACTTTTATATATACCACATCAAAGCACATAGTCTAACATTTCTAATTTCAGTACCTTTAAAATGGAAAAGTAGAGCAAGAACATAAAGACTTACAAAGCAATCTGAGTGCAGAATTCTACATTTTTATATTAGTTCCATTCATACCTAATCAGAAAACAATTTTTAAAAAATACCTTTATCAAATCTCCTCAAAGCATTTGACTCATTTTAGCCATTTCTGTAATAAATTACACAATTATAATAAATGCAGGCCACAAACAGGCCTGGGAGCTAAAAAAGAATAAAAGTCACTCTTTTTGTTGCTCTTGTTTTGAGACCGGGTCTGGATATGTAGCCCAGGAGGGCTTGAAACTCATAATCCTCCTGCTTCCTACTCCTGCATGCTAGGATTAACAGGTATGCACTATCATGCCTAGTCCAAAAGTAACACTTGTTAAGTATTTATATGTGCATGGTTGTATGTATGACTTGTTTTTAAATACTTACATATAATTGTTTCTAAAAGGAAAAGGAGGAAATATACATGGGCACTCACTGAATCAGGTTACTGTCCTTCACTCAATTGTAAATTCTAGGGGTACTTTTGATACAATGTAGAATCCAAGAAGTTGCATAAAAATGTTAAATCATTCTGGATCACAGGAATCTACATTATGTTTGTTCTGACAGCTCAGTGTTGATGGCTATCTAAAGCTACAAACCTTATTACTTGAATGGATGACTTCATCAATGTAGAATGCATCCATTTTAAGTATCACTGTTATTTTAACTATAATACAACACTACTACTGATTGTCCTCAGAACCACTTAAGACATAATATTCTTTGGCAAATACAATTAAAAAACTCCTAGGAAACCACATAAGGAAGCTGAAAACACTGATAACTCCTGGCTAAAGTTGTAATCAACATGTTTAAACTATTCCAGAAGGAATTTTGTTGTTTTTGTTTTTTGAGACAAGGTCTCACTATGTAGCCAGACTGACCTAAAACTCAGGATCCTCCTGCCTCAGCCTCCAAGGTGCTGGGATTATAGACAGGTACCACCAGTGCCTAGTCCAAAAGGAATTTTAAAACAAAAAATTTCAAAAAAGCAAGTCCTTTACAGTCATGAAGCAACATTCGAAACAAGATGTACATGATATTAACAATTTCAAGAGGCAACTAAATGGCAATTAATAACACTGATGAATATATTAAGAGAATGCTGGAATTCCTTCTCTAGGTTGTATACAAATATCCTGCTAGTTAAATATAAAACAGTAACATTCTTCAGTATCCCTTACTAATTATAAAAGAAAAGGCTTACTGAAGTGGCAAAAACTGGTTTCAAAGAACATTCAAATTGCAATTTCATTTACCCCTTCCTTGGAGCATCTTCTGTAGCTCTTTGAAGCTTGCCAGCTATAGCCTCCAAACTTTTATAAGGTTTTCTGCTGGGTGGCTTTGTTGTTTGAACATTTACTGTGCTCAATTCAACTTTCATATCCTTAATAATGTCCAGCAAGTCTTTTTTCATCTTATCCTTGACTCTGTCTTGCCTCTCTGAAGTCGTCTTGGAAACTTCACCAGTTGGAACAGACTGCTCATCTTTCTTGTTATAGATCACGCTGCTGGTGCCAAAATATCTTTGGATATTATTTTCTGTTCTGGAACAATGTATTAAAGAAAAAAAAATGAAAAACACAATGCAAAATAAAGCAATAGCTAAAAAAAAAAAAACTGCTTCTGAATTTTTTGTTGGTGGTGGTGGTGGTGGTACTGGGGTTTGACTAACGGCCTCAAACTTGCTAGGCAGGTACCCTACCTCCTGAACCTCAACAGTCCTTTTTTGTGTTGGTTATTTTCAAGATAGGGATTCTAAAACTATTTTGCCAGGGTTGGCCTCTCGATCCTCCTGATCTCTATCTCCTGAGTAGCTAGGATTACAGGCATGAGCCACTTGCACACAGCTTGCATTTTTCAACTCCTTTCATTTGCTTTTGCTTTTTATTATTATTAACAACCACAACATCAGCAGTTTACCATGTATTATACATGGCTCTTGCCTTGTATATACAAGTTATGTGCATTTTCTCATATGTGTGTATCAACTCCACAAAGTAGGCATAGTCCTCACCTGCAGATAAGGGAACTGAAAATCAGAGAAGTAACTTACCCAAGGCCATGCAGCTCAGAGTTCCTTAGGCCTAAGCCAAATAGTGTACCATATATAGGTCCAGGTGCACTGAGATACTGATCACCTGGCCCTTGAAGAGGCTGGGTGAGACTGATGCTTCCCAGGCTATAACCATCCATTTACTCCAGGGTTCAGTAGAAATACCATTTTCTGTTTTCATGACATACAGAGGTTGGTAAACACTGACATGGTTAATGAATGATGATTTATTATTCTCAAATTAAGTATGACTGACTGCCAGGTCCTTTTTTTTAAACAGTACTCAGGCACTCCACCAGCCCTTTTTTGTGAAGGGTTCTTTTTTTTTTTTTCAGATAGGGTCTCTCGAACTACTTGCCCAGGCTGGTTTTAAACCACAATCCTCCTGATCTCTGCCTCCTAAGTAGCTAGGACTACAAGCATGAACCACCAGCACCCGGCTTCAGGTCCTTACTCTTAACATGATATAGTTCCTCTTTAAAATGTCACAAGTTATATGAAAATAGGGAAATTCCTATTAATGAGAAAAGGTTACTTACAAAAACTACTGGGAGTTGTTCTAAGCTCATCGTCTTTCTCACCAAAGTACATGCTGTTTAAGCAATCACTATTTATAATATTAAAAAGAAAATTCCTTAGACCAATTAAATTTAGTAGAGTTTGAGCAGAGCAGAACAAAACCAAACCAATATACAAATTGGGCAGCTCCCAGAATCAGAGCAGATTCTGAGAACTCCATCCAACAATGTAATCAGATAGAATTTGTAGAAAAAAAGAACTGAGGTTAAAAAAAGAACTTAACTGACTATAGCTTAGTCAGTCAAGTGGTTACAGCTTAACTAGTTTACACCTTAGTTAAATTGCTACAGGCCTCCTACAACCCACCGGAGTACAGTTACTATGATTAAATTCTATTGGTTTGACCTGCTGGGCCCAGCGCAGGTGCTCAATCCAAATCCTGCACATTTCACTAGGCAAAAGTGAAACAGAAAAGAACACTCAGTGGCTACTGACTGTCATTGTTCTCTTTATTAGACCATTTATGAAAAGGAAAACAAATGACTGCATCTATTTTGGACCCATGCAAAGATTTTTTTCTTTTCTCTCTTTTTTTTTTTTTTTTGTGCTGCTGAGGGTGAAATCCAAGGCTTCATGCTTATTTTTTACTTTTATACTTTTAAATAACTCAAGCATCTACTTTGACTCTTAGGGGTTGAAAACTTCTTTTTTGGTATTTGCCGCTGAATAACTTTAAAAATAGAAAACAGGTATAACATATAAAAAGTCATTCATTAAATACAGTGATAGTTTAGTGCCCAGCACAGAATAAATAAGCACTGCCAATATATTAGTAAATGAGAATTTCATGGTAAGGCAGAGCACTGAGACCAGATCTCCTGCCTGATTCCCTATTTAACCTCCCCCTATCCAGTGCCTTCCAATAATCAGGTGAGCTATGTTTTCTTTCATTATGGAGTATGCCAATCAGCAAGAGGGCCTCAAGGAAGCCAGCCCCAGTAGGCTGTCCATTAGGTAGCAAGCCAGGAACTACACTGGGCAAGATAGTGACAAGAAAGGCCCAAATAATGATGTGATGATCTTTATTCTTGAGATTTGCACAACTGAAAAGCATCTCTCTCTACTGCACTCTCTCTCTAGTGGGACTGGGGTTTGAACTCAGGTCGTAGTGCTTGAAGCATCTCTTGACTGAGGATCAGGTTTGTCTCTTTTTGGCCACAAACAACTCCTGCAAGAAGACAACCACCTGCCTTTGATCACCCACCTCCTATAATCAGCTTCCCAACCAAGATGGACTTTGGACAAGAGTCTTCCATTTTCTCAATTAACTGGCTTTTTTGAATAAAGTGGTCTTCCTTGCCCTAACACCTAGTTTCTTTACTTAACTGGCCTTCTGTGCAGCCAGACTTGGGTCCAGTAACAATGGTCCCTCTATTTAGGAATCTAATAGGTTAGAGCACTTTCTCAAACTTTAATGTGCACAGAAATTATCTACGCTACTTGCTAAAACACAGTGTTAGTGCCACCAAAAAATTCTGATTCGGTAGCTTTAGGGAAGGACAGGAAAACGTGCATTTCTACCAAGTTCCCAAATGATGCTCACATTCCTAGCCAGAGGACCTCCTTTGAGTAGCTAAGCTATTTAATCCTTACAGACAGATATTAATATTCCCATTTTACAAAAGAAGAAACTGCTGCTCAAAAAGTTTAGTGCTTCTGACTGCTAGAGGATATAAGACATTGAGTCCTGAGATTCTCAGTTTGTAAGTTTGAGAGAGGGCTTGGCAATCTGTATTTTAACTAAGACCTTAAGTGATCCTGCTGCAGTCTGATCCCTGCATCAGACCCTGGGTTAAATAATATACCAAGTTCTCACAGCTAACAAATGGCAGTGCTAGGCTAAGGACACTGAAGTGAAACAGAAATAGCAGTTTCCTAAAATGCTGAAACTATTTGAAACACTACAAAAATGTCAGTGCTTACCACAACGAGAACTTGAAATTAAAATAAAAAGTGAATTATACAACTGGTATCTTCATGATCAGTACTCAGGACCCTTATAATATCACCTTATGTATGTCACAATTCAAATTAGGAAAATGCTCTAATAATTATTTTACACCTGGAAGTTAATATTAAGGGTACTGTAACAGAGTATTAAAGGTATTTTAACTTTTTAAAAGGAAGGTGGCAGTCAGAAAACCTTTACCACATGTTTCCTTCCAAGAGTGCTATAGTGTTTCAGAAAACAATCTGTATTTACTGTAGGAAAATCATGTGAACGCCGTAATACTAAAATAACAAAAACTTTAGCCCTAATCTCCCACTTGAGTTTGTTTCCACTAGGAACATGTCAACATTTTAAATGCAACACATCCAAAATCACATTCAAGAGCTTTCTCCACATGGGCTGGAGATGTAACTGAGAGGCAGGGTGCTTGCCTAGCACGGAAGAGGTCCTGGGTTCTAATCTCTTAACACCAAAAACCAACAAAAATCCTCTTCCCTCTGAGACTGGTTTTTTCCATTTTTCATGCTCTGTATTGAATGGGCCTCCTACCATTAAACAGATCACTTTGTATTCCAACAACTATGAGTCTTTCTCAAACTTGCTTCTCATTCTTCTAACATTAATGATCTCCTAATCCTCCGAGGTAGTCAGCTGAAATCTTTGCCCTCTCTCACAACTCTACCATTATCATATGTCACATCCTATTAACTGTACCTTGTGCAGTTTCCTCCTCACCCAGCGATCCTTCCCATCGTCATTGCTGTCACCTTGCTTCAGCACTGTACTAAATCGAACTGGTTCCAGTTTTCCATGGAGTATTCCACCGCATAGTGGAATTAGGTTTTCATATTCATTACGTTCTTAGAGCAAAAATACCAAAACATGTATGCCACAACTCCTTTTCTTTTCTGGCTAGCACCAACCGATGGTCTTCCTTCCGATTTTAAAGATTTCCCTTCCAGAAAGGATTCCCTGCAATGGTTACGTGGTCCTGTTTGCTCTCTTTGCAATCATCTGTTTAGTGAACTTGGAGCACTCTATGCTTACCTACACTATCTCACCAAGCTTGAATTACATACTTCCGGAATGGCAGGCCTGTCTTATTCCGGGCTTGCACCAGTAACCGGCACACTACAAGTCTTTTCAATAATGAAGTAAAGAGTAAACGAAGGGCTGGCGGAGTGGCTCAAGTGGTAGAGAGCCTGCCTAGCAAGCCAGCAGGCCTGAGTTCAAACACCCCAGTACCAAAAAAAAAAAAAAAAAATGAAGGAAGGAGGAATGAGACCAAAGAGTATGGGGAAGCAAAGAAAGAAAATAACTTCCGAATAGACTGAGATAAGAAAGTGGCGCGGGGGGGGAGGGGGGCAAGGAGCGGGATATGGAGAAGAAAGCCCGGGACAGCAGACCAGGCTTGTCATTCTAGCAGTTTCCGCGCACACTGCGACCTTGGGTAGGACACCTTAGCTTTCCAGGATTTCTCTTTCCTCAGATTTAACGCAATGGCGCCTTTGATCGTTCAGGTTATTAATACGGACCCACGAGCAGTTACCAAAAGTGCGGGAGGGGATGGGGTTGCCTGAAGTCCTGAGGGGCCAACGCCATTGAAAAGTGGTACCTGACTGTTCCAGGAGGAGTAGCGAGTGGCACAATCGCAGCCACCGAAGCCTCCGGGGTTCCAGAGGACAAAGGACGGCAGGAGAAAGGACGAAAAGGTAGCAGAAACACGGGCACCCTAGGGAACATCGCGAAGAACTGAGCCGCCCTACGAACGCTACAGAAACACGGCGTCACTCAGCCAAACACGCCCCCCGCGTTAGCTTCCGTTCTGCTGCCTGCCTTGTTCCCTTCCTTTGCATACCGGTAGGAAACAGAGGCCGGAAACTGCGTTCCGGGCCCGTCCGCTGCCATCTGAGTTCAGATACGATGCAGCTCCTAGAACAGAGAGAGCAGGTGGAGCGATCAGTTGTATGGAGCCAGCAAGAAGGAGCGGAGAACCGGCGCTAGTGTGCTTTTGGGGGAAAGGATTCCCAGCATGCGTATTTTCAAAATGACTTTGGCTGCCAAAGAAATTTAAAAAATTACTGTAAGAAGGACTGGCAGAGTGGCTCAAGTGGTAGAGCGCATTGAGACCTTGAGTTCAAACCCCAATACCGACAAAAAAAAATCAGTAGAACATAAATGTTCTATGTTTATGTTCTAATCAATAATGGAAGTCATGTGCCCTTTAAAAATGTGTGCGTGTTTGCCACAACCTTTTTGTCCTTCTTCCTAGTTGGAATGTAAACAAGTTGCTAGGAGCCAAAGCACCTAGAGAGCTGAGAGATGAAAGATTGCAGAGATAAAGATGACAGAGCCATCTCACCTATGTCTTTTACTACCTCTGTCTGAAACCCTGTTTTATTTTCTCGAGTGTATTTATTACTATCTGAAATTATCTCATATTTATGTGGTTTAAGTGCTTATTGATAGAATACATGCTCCACTGATACCATCTGTGGGGAGGTGTCTCATGCACCTCTCAGTTGTGAGTGTTCAAGGTTTTTGGCAAATTGAACAAAGATTTGGATAAAACACACAGAAGTAGCAAGCAAAGCATAGATTTATTGAAGTGGCGTACACTCTCACCAGATGGGAGCAGGCCTGAGCGAAGATGTTTAAGGGTCAATTCTCTGTCAGTGTTGTAGTTTAAGGTCAAAACTGGAGCTGGGGTTGGGGGTTGGAGAGGGGCGTCCTGCTTATGGTTGACAGCTTTGAGGGACAGGAGGATGCTATACAACTTATTTTTGACTATGCATGGCCCTACCCATAATGCATTCTGTTATAATTACATGCATGAGATTCAGTCCATATATATGGAGCTTTAAGTAGGGGGATGTGCATGCACTAACTCTGGGACTTTCCCTTCTGCACAAACATCCTCTTTTTTATCATGATGTAGTGGCTTTTGAGTTAACCTCAAAAAGGGAGTTCCAAGGATGTTCCCAACCAGTTATCTCCTGAAGGGGGCATGTTCTAGTAGGGACTTGAAAATGTCATAGGTGGGACTTTTGTGACATTTTATCTGGTCAATCTTTACCCCCACTTGACCAAACTGTACTTCCCTATTTTCTTGCCTCATTTTCTCCCTAAGAGACAAGATCCCTGAACTCTTTTGGGGAATAGGGATGGAGATCTCTCTCTCTCTCTCTCTCTCCCTCTCTCTCTCTCTCTCTCTCTCAAATTGTTGAATATAGGTGTAGTCTTGCCTCCTCACAGATCATGGAGCTCTGTTCTTATTCCTTAGGTTGGCCAAGAGGATGACAAACCTAATCCTAGGAATGGTTTTCATGTCAAAGATCCCAAAGGTCCTGTCTCAGTTGATCTAGTGTCCACAAGGTCTCCTGTGGAGCAGGTGGTACTGGAGCTTGTTCTGTGAGTCCAAAAGGAGTTAGGTGGAGGTTGGCAGGAGCAGTATTTAGGTTAGAGCACTATTTGTACAGCTTGGATGTGAGAGGATACAACTCTGGTTAGAGCCTTTGGGACACAAGGACCAAAAGAGAAAGAAGAAAATTTGATACTAACTGTATCAAAAAGGGTTTCTTCCAAAAAGGGAGAAGCCACTACAACCATGACCAGGTGTTTTCCTAGGAAAGCCACCCTTGGGTAGCCAGCCTGATCCCTTAGATTAGAAGCATGGTGGGTTAATTTATGAATATTAGTTTGGACCTATCCTGATTTATTGACAGAAAAGCAAGAGTCTTCACCAAGCATAGCAAAAGTTCCCTTTGAGCAGCAGTGATTGTGTAGAGAACCACTGCCATCAGAGAATCAATTTGATTTGGGGAAAATTGGTTGGAGGACCTTGGGGTGTGAGTGAAGAATCCTCATTGGTATATGAAAAGGAAAGTGATTATAGTCAAAAGTGGTATTTTATAGTGGAGTTTGAGAGATGAGTCTGAAGAAGGCATAGAAACAGCCAGATGATCCATATCAGGAATCCCTCCTCTTGGTTCTGTCTCTGTCTATTTACGCTTTGGAACAATCCTTTACTTTAAGACAAAAATCCTATTTTTACCATGCAAAAAACCTTTTTATCCAGCGAATGTCCTCTAATAACTTTCTTAACACCTTTATACACCCTACCATATTCCATCAATCGCATCTCAGTATGAACCCTAACAAAACCCTTCATGATTTTAGCTTGTGATTTTTGTCTTACCTGCCTTGAACAATCCTATGCTTTCAGGACAAACCCTTATTTACATAAAGAATTCTTTTACATCCAAAAAATGCTGTTTTTCTTTATAACATTTTTATATCTCCTTGTCTTTTACTTACTGGTTCCTCTTTGCTTTACCATTTTAACCCAAACCATATTTATGACAAAATAAAACAAGTAACTATCACCTGTCCCCAAATGGCTGCAGATATTATACAAACTTTGTAACTGCTTAGATTTTTAATGTTTTTTTTTTTTGGTGGGATTGGTGTTTGAACTCAGAACTTACACATTTGCTAAGTGCTCTACCTCTTAAACCATGCCTTCAGTCTACTTTGCTATTGTTATTTTGGAGTTGGGGTCTTGCAAACCATTTGCCAGGACTGGCCTTGAACTGTGATCCTCCCAATCTCAGCCTCCCAAGAAGCTAGAGTTACAGGCTTCAGTTACTGGCACCTAGCTGCTGCTTGGATTTTTTAAAGGGTGAGTTTATGCATTCCTTCCCTCCCCGCTTTTGGTCTCACATGAAATTTACAGAATGTTATATTCACTAAGATACCAAAACTTCTAGGTGATGTTGAACAGCAGAAAAAAATATACAAAAAGCCCAGGATTTTTACATGTTAACCTTATAGTTGCAGTTTAGGATACAAAAGGCAAATCAATGGGTAGTTATTTGGTCGTTTTAGACACAGGAGAGAAGAGGAAGAAGAATTGGGGGAAACAGGCCAGTGTGTGGAACAGAAGATGCTCCTGCTACCTCCCTCCCCAAGGGTAAGACACTGAATAGAGTAGTAGGAAGTCCCCCTATGTGTGTGAAGTGGGCTCAGGAGACTTTGTGATTTGGGGGTTGAAGGGAAATTTTGATAAGGTGGAGTTTGGGGTTTCCTGAGAGACAGGAGGTAGTCCCTCAAGGGTAGGATTATAAATGATGGTAGGATCCCCATTTAAGCTCTCTTTTAATGAGGGCTCCTTTAGTCTCTTGCACAGAGAGAATTTTTGACATAAGGCAATAAAGGCTTGAATGTAGGGGATCTTGGACCATTTTACCAGATTTCTACAATATAAATTCAACTGTAGGATAGTATTCTAGGATAAGCTTCCATTCATTGGGCCACTGTTCTTGGTCTTTTAATTTATTTTGGGGTCAGGCAACATTACAGGAAAAATGAAGTGGTTTTTTTTCTTTTAGTTAGCAGGCTCAAAGTCTTAGTGGTTGAGAATGCACCCAAGTGAAGAATATGCTGCGATAGAGGGGTTCCTCCCATTGTGATCAGTGGAGGGAGGAAGATTTCTACAGAGGCTAGAAAGGACCCATTAGCTATCTCCAGAATGGACCCAGTAGCTCCCCCTAGGGAGTCAGTGGTGTAGATCTTGGGTTTAGGACCATTCCCCTATGATTCCTGTTTTTAGGTGGCCAGGCATCCCTGACCCTTAATGGTAGACATCAATGCCACTTGAGCTGAGGTTTTTTTTGGTGGGACTGGGATTTGAACTCAGGGCTTTGGACTTGCAAAGTCGGTGCTCTATCACTTTGATTCTCAACTCCAGTCCATTTTGCTCTGGTTATTTTGGAGATGGGGTTTCACGAACTATTTACCTGAGTTGGCTTCAAACCACCATCCTCCTTATCATAGCCTCCCAAGTAACTAAGATTACAAGCATGAGCCATTGACTAAAATGGCCTCCATACGTGATGTTCCACCTCTAATCTTAAATTCCCCAGATGAATGGCTTGATATTTGGCATCTACCCAATTATAATTTTTTTCTTGCCTACTAAACTCAAGCAAACAAAAATCCAGTCATTCTCAATAAAGGGACAATGGTGTCTCCCAAATTTTCCACCCCAGAAAGAAAAAGCCATAGTGTGTTTCCAAACTGTCTAAATCATTATTGTGTACCAAGGCCACTCAAGGAGTGTTACTTTGATAACATTAATGACAGGCAAAAAAAAAAAGCTTCGTGAGACTTATCCAAGCCTGGGGTAAATCCTCCCTCTGTTTTATGAGCCTAAAAAAGGGTTGTTTGGAGGGCACAGGCAAAGCAAGGTTCTGTTTGCCACTCTCCCAAGTGAAGAAGGAAAACTTTCATGTGTGAGCCCCAGAACAGCAGAAAAGATGGGAGAAGAAAAGGCAGAAGGCATGATGGATGGAGGAAAACAACTAATACCACTGGGGGGGAGGGGTTGGGGAGGCTTGCCTCCTGATTGGCTGGCCAAGATGATACTGTCTGGGCACCTCTTGATTATGAATGTTCCAGGTTCTTGGCAAATTGAACAAAGATTTGGATAAAACACAAAGTGATAGCAAGCAAAGTGTAGATTTATTGAAAGTGGAATATACTCCCACAGATGGGAGTGGACCTGAGTGAAGAAGATCAAGGGCCTGATTCTCTGGGTTGTCATTTAATCCCAAAGGGTGTTTGTTTGTTTGTTTGTTTAAATGGGCATCCTTCTTATGATTGACAACTTTGATGAACAGAAGGATGTTATTTTGACTGTGTGTGTCCCTACCCATAATGCATCCTATTATATTACATGCATGAGATTCAGTCCACCTACATGAAAATTTAAGTAAGG